CCCCTCCGGAGGCTTATAGTTTTTAAGCAATTCGTTGTTAAAGTTGCAAAAAAGTCGAATTTAACCTCACATTTTCCTTTTTACATCGAGGGAACTCAAATTGCGGTGCTGCCACGCATCACAAAAAAAAATGTGTAAAAAAGTACTGAAAAGGGAATCAATGAAAACGTAAATAATAAAGTGGACATGTATATTTATTTTATAGCTTTTTTATTGGATATTTTCACTATATATGGAAGAATTGATGAAAAAGGGTCGCAGATGAAAATTTTCAAGATATATCGAAGTATTGAATTTTTTAGAAAAAAGCGGCGCAGCCGAAAATTTATATTAAAAAATCGCAAGATTTTTGGTTAAACATTTTCAAGATATATTGAAGTATTGGATTTTTTAGAAAAAAGCGGCACAGGCGAAAATTTGTAACAAAAAGTCCCGCGATTTTTTATTAAAAATTTTCAAGATATATCGAAGTATTGGATTTTTTAGAAAAAAGCGCCGCAGGCGAAAATTCGTAATAACAAAACGCGCGATTTTTACTAAAAATTTTCAAGATATGTCAAAGTATTAGATTTTTAGGAAAAACCGCCGTAATTACTATTTAAACAAAGCTTTTCAATTGTCCAAGACGTTTTTATTCATAACACATTTTGGTTATAACTAAGAAACGTAAAAAATCAATGCGCATTGCCAAACAACTTAAACTAAAAGGCACTTAAACCCGAAGGAAAAACCACGAAATTTGATGGCATATGCATATTTAACCGCTTCGATAAGTTTTTCGAAGGGATCTTGGCGATTATTTTCGATGGACTTTCTCCACAAAAATTCTGCAATAATGTCTGCAAAATTGACCGGGTTGTTGTAGTTATCTTTTTGAAAAAACCTCTCTACCACTCGCCACTGTGACTCGATACGCTGGGTATGAGTACCACATGGCGCCACAAAAGGGCTGTCTGGGTCTCTGTGATTGACCTTTTGGTGGACATACCCATAACTCAGTAAGCAATCGTATGCCTTCCAGAAGTCTGTGCGAATGTTAGTGCTACGTGCTTCTGGATAAGGGGTATGAGCACCTCTGCCGATCGCACATTATCCGGCCACACTTCGAGCCTGAAGTCCTCGATCCCGTCCTCTATCATTCCGAGGACCCAGTGACCCTCGACCCTCCTCCTTAAAAAGTACGAACAAATAAAATGAATATCCTTTTTTAATAGATAAAATTCAAACTCAAATTACCTTTGTTGAACTTTTTCTTTCCAAATTTACTTTCGTCAATTTGTACTATTTTCCCAGGCCCGCCAATGCTTGCGCCATGTTCCTCCTTGTCGATTTGATAAAAAACCACTGCCTCCCGACAGTAACTATTCGGTTATTAACTTGCTTGACAAGCAGAGACCCTCGACATAGTCTTCAAGTTTCACTTGAAATTGGGTATAGCGCCGCCAATAACAATACATTGGGCACGTTCAGAAGGCGCAACAGCTCAGTAACTGTTGCAATTGCACCTTCTGAACGTGTTGTTTTATACTTCTGATCAACTGAACAGTTGCGTGTTAAATGATCGTAATATTTTTCTGATCATTTGAGACAACATGTTGTGTGTTTTGAATTTGACAGCTAATGTATCAAGCCGTTCAGAAGACGCATTACGATCACTGATTTTTTTTAGCAACGGTTGCGCTCAACTGATGCGCCTTCTGAATCTACCCATTATAAAAAATATATGGGGCAGTGATAGAGATTTTGAAATATGAGTGTTTTTACTCTCTAAAAAATTATTTATGATACCTCACATTTTACATTGTCTTGATACGCGGTTCTGCATTTTAAATTAAAAATTGTGAAAGTTAATGGTGATACGCTAATCAAAAAGCCTAATTTTTTCAAAAATCTGATGAGAAATTTAAAATGAAATTTGAACCAAAATATAAAAAAGTTTGATTTGGGAAGAACATTCTTTAGAATTCGATTTTTAAATCGCAAGATTGCATTCAAAATAAGAAAACGAAAAAATAACAAAATAATGCGCGCGTGGTTTTTATTATAAAATAAAAAGAACAATTACGATGAAGTCCTCTTTAATAGTTTATATTTTATATAGTTTTAATAAAAATAGTGCGAGCTACGTAAGTAAAAAAAATACCAAGCATTGATAATGGTTTTTGATTTTAAATATTATTATTACAATGGTATAAATATGCGAAAGGAAATTCTCCAATTTATTGTTTTAATATTATCAAAGTGGCAAGGCCGATGATAATACTCACAATTTGTGAAACTTCAAAAAAATTTATTACCCGTCAAAAATTGTTTATTGAAGCTACCTTCTTTTTTGTATCATGATCAGCATCGTTATTGGCTTCCACTAGAGCTGGGATACTATCGATAGTACTGCCACTCGATAGTTGAAAACATCGATAGTATCGATAGTACTATCGTCTGAGAGGTATTGAATTAAAATGCTAAATTGCTTTAAAATTAAATAATTAATACATTTGTAAAATTTATAAATTACTTTGTAAGTTAAAGAGATTATATAAATTTGTTTAAATTTGAGTGCACCAAAAAGAACTTATTATAATAATAAACTAAACTTATTAATTTATGCATCTGAATTATATATACATATGT